AGCTCGAGACACCCGCGGACCTGTTCCGTCCGCATTGCTGTGGCTACTGTTGTTGTAATGACAGCATTATTTGTTTTGTGGTGATGCGCGTGTATCTTTAGCGAGGTATAACCTCACATAGTTTGGTGCGGGCAGGTCATAGAGAAAGATGAAATATGGGTGGGGGGGGGGGGGGGAAACTACGTCCATATTAAAATATATAAACAACATTGTATTTAATGTTTCAGACTAAATAAAGTAGTTTCGCAAGAGGCATGTGCTCGTCATGGGAATAATTAGCCCGTATGTTCGCCGTCAGTGAAGACGTGAGATGAATGTAGTGAATGATGTATGCCGAATGGCTCACAGGGCTATACCTCATAAATGAACTTAACTGAATGTTGAACGTCTTTAATTAAATTGTCGGTGCCACCGGAGGCTGCCGCAACTTTTGTAGCTCCAATCTTTTTTGGCGGAGACGCAACCTTGAATTACGTGATGACCACACATGCATCGTCGGAACGACGCGAGTTTTTCTACCGCAGTGCGACACCAATTTGCGCCGGGGCCCCGCATGGATCATTACGCAAGTGTCTGGCTCTATAAAGTCAGCTGTGAAGCAATTGAGCTGCTTGGAATTAATAGGGATGCTCATGCATACTGTTTGGTTCTTTCGGTAAAGCCACGTAGGTATAAAATAAATCACGACGTTTCGGGCGCAACACAAGCGTCCGTCATCAGGTGGGAAAGCATGGTCTGCTGCTGAGGCAGACTGTTTTAAAAGGTTTGAAATGGGTGTAGCTCAAGGGTCATAAAGAAGTCGAGGAGGCCGCTTTCCTAGCATAGAGTTACATGCTAATTTCTCACATTAAAATCATGCTAATCTCTCATTAACATAGCCACTTCCGTGCCCTCGTCGAGGAGGCCGCTCTCCTATCTTACTAATTTCTCACATTAACATCACTAGCCCGGGCTACTTCTTTATGACCCTTGGGCTACACCCATTTCAAACCTTTTAAAACAGTCTGCATCAGCAGCAGACCATGCTTTGCCACCTGATGACGGGCGCTTGTGTTGCGCCCGAAACGTCGTGATTTATTTTATTTTATACCTACATGGCTTTACCGATAGAACCAAAGAGTATGGATTTCCTGCAGTCACGAAAGCTTCAAATCAAGAATGCTCATGCATGTCTTTTTTTTCCTCTGTTCAATAAAGGGGCATAGCAGCAGGCTTGGTCCCTTGCCTGCTGCTGTGTGCCTTGCCCGTGTGCATGCAGGGTCAGTTGCTCTTTCCAATTATTAGACTGAAATTAAACGTACAAACCACCCACTCGACTGGCTTTGAACACGCCTGCATTCCCAGATTAAACAATGCAAGAATTGTCTTTGGTTCTTTCGGTAAAGTCACGTAGATAGAAAAATAAAAATAACTTTAAAAATGCCGTAGCCTGGTTCTTAATCGGAGTGTACTGGGAGACTATGTAGACTGTATCCTGGTTATTGCGTTTTGTGAGTGTACTGGCAGTCTATAATGTAGACTGTAGCCTTAAAAATAATAAAATAAAAAATAAACAAAAAGCCAAGAGGTTTCAATCGCAACACAAGCGGTCGTCATCAGGAAGTGGGATTTTTTTTCGTATTTTTCAGGCGAGTCTACATTATAGACTGTCAGTACACTCACAAAACTCCATAGCCAGGCTACAGTCTACATTATAGACTGCCAGTACACTCACTCCGATTAAGAACCAGGCTACAGTATTTTTAAAATAATATTTCATTCACTTTTTTTCTATCTTCGTGACTTTACCGAAAGAACCAAAGAATATGATTTCCTGCAGTCACGAAAGTCAAGTCAAAATGTAATGCAAGAATAAGCAATAATCCAAACAGGCTCTGCTCGTGATAAAAGACCTTTATTTAAAACATCCTCTGTGGCAATGAAATAACACACGATGCGGGCACACACACACACGCGCACGTGCGTTCCCAAGTTCGATATGCAGCATGTAAATCCATGGATGCAGCCAAGAGGGAGACACGACACAAAGACAGGACGACTCGAAGCACTACGGTCGCAGGGGGAGACACGTTCGCCACCATCACAGCATCAAAGCAATGTGTCCATAATATACATATATATGTATAGGCTGCCTCTTTAAATGTCTTTCAGCAAAAAACGACTGTGGTGTGGACAAAAACGTGGCAGCGATCCGGCCAATTTTTTGTAACTTTTTTTAAATATATTATTTTTTTAAATCGTTTTTTATCATTTTTTTTTTACATTTCTTGGCGTCACACATTAGGCAGGCAACTTACACGTACAGGTAACACTCACTAGTTACAATGCAACTTAATGACAATTAAAATGAAATAATACCTAGCCACTAAGTTCCATACAAATGGCACTTTGTATTTTATCCGACAGCAGTAAGTGCCTTAAACTTGTCAAGTTGTTGGATAGATAAGATTCGCTTAGTTGAGTTATTTTTTTATAACTATCATAACTATATTTGTTTATGGGGTCCATTCATAAGCCAGCACGGTTTATGGGCCAAATTCTGAGCCAGGAATTCTGAGAAACTGGGTTTGAATCCACATTTCAAAACAAGATTCTTAAGTGTTGTGATATCTAATCATTGCACAAATGTGCAGCATATACACGGCTCCAGTTGAATTCAAATTCGTCTTCAACAAGGCATCGTGTATATCATGACACGGACTGCACTATGTGATGGGTTGCTCTGCTGCAGGTCGCGGGACAGAGAATTAACAAACAAAGATCTACTTCATATCATTAAGATAAAGTTTGTTTAAAAAAATATTACCAATATTTCAAGACAACCGAGTGGGATAGGTGACTAAGGGTGGCCAGGTGGTGAATGGCATTCACAATTCTAGATTTGAAGCTTTCGTGACTGCAAGGATTCATATTCTTAGGTTTTTTCGGTAAAGTCACGTAGGTAAAACATTAAAATTAATAAAAGTAAAATAAAATAAAAATCACGACGTTTCGGAGGCAACACAAGCTTCCGTCTTCAGGTGGAACCGTCACAGCCACGACAGCTGTATCAAGTAAATGAGAGATTGCAGGAGCTACCACTCCGTGGCTGTGACGGTTCCACCTGAAGACGGAAGCTTGTGTTGCCTCCGAAACGTCGTGATTTTATTTTATTTTACTTTTATTAATTTTAATGTTTTACCTACGTGACTTTACCGAAAAAAACCTAAGAATAGGCATTCACAATGGCTGCGTCTGAGCAGTGAGCCAGCACCACGAAGACTCTGGATGGAATATTCTGGCAGCCGTCATTAAGACAGGTCCTCCAGTGAAGCGAGTCAGATGGTCTCGGCCTGGTCACCAAAAACTGCAGAAGTAATCCACTTTAAAATAATTTAGGTTTCTCACTTTACTACTGTATTTGCCCCAGCCCAGCAAGATTGCTTTACATTTCACAAATATATTACATGACCGCTAGGTGGTGGACCACTTCCCCCCCCATAATTTAAAGTACTATCGTCTCGTTTTGGGTTTGTGAGACCTATGTAAGCGACGGCAGTTGTGGCGTCATCTTCCAGGGCTGTTCCCTGACGAAACACAATGTTCTACTGTCTGGAGGGGTTCCAGATGGACGGTTTTTATTTGCTTCATTAAATTACCGAGAGCACAATTGGGTTGTAATTGTTGGCACATGTGCAGGCAACACAACTATGTTTGGAATGAAATACGAGGTCTGAGTCCAACTGTGGAAATGTGCAATTTACAGCACGCCTCGACGCTGCAACAGAGATTAACACTGTTGCACAACTCATTTTACAGGGAGCAGCCTTGAATTAAAAATACAACGATACGGTAGAAAAAATAAATAGATCACGACGTTTCGACCGCCACACAAGCAATCGTCTTCAGGTGGGACGATTGCTTGTGTGGCGATCGAAACGTCGTGATCTATTATTTTGTCTACCTATGTGACTTTACGGAAATAACCAAAGAGTATGGATTCCCGCAGTCACGAAAGCTTCAAATCAAAATGATACGTTAGAACTCTTATCCGCGACAACTATTTAAAATTGCAATATCAGTAGGGTCTCAAAAAGTCCTATTTTCAGCTCCTCTATTTTTATTTGTGTGATTCCCCCACCTCCCCGTCCTGCGTAAAGTAACGGCTTCCAATAATGTGCAAATGTTTCGCGAACCGAATCCATGATCTCTGTCCCTCACGTCACTGCAGATAAGAGGATCTTTCCTGTAATGAACGATGGAGGGCTGTGTGTGTGTGTGTGTGTTACAGGACTCGTGAGCAATATGACAACACACGGCAACTCCACCAATTGGAGAGTTTAAAACAAAAATGTTGGTGCCCTCAAAGAGCGCGTAAAGATTTGTTTTTACTTGTGACATAGCAACACCCGGTACACTTGTCCCAGATACATATTTGAATATAAATTCGGTAAATTTTTCAGACAAGACGCATGGAACAAATTATTTTTTTTGGAATTTGTTACAGAAAGCCAAACTCCATTATCTTCTATCCTTCCATATCATATACCACAGTTCACCGCAGACACCACGATACGTAAAAAGCAATCATAAAAACAATCCCCATTGTTTAAACCACTCCTCTCCATGGAATTTCATATCGTCTCTGCGATAGGACAGTCTGTAGTGAGATCCAAGCCAAACCGACTGGGAAAGCAGCTGTCTGTGCAACTTTAATCGGTATCCATGGCAGTAACTGCGCACAACACAAATAATAAATAATAAAATAAATGCACATTTTGACTTAAAACTTTTCGTGACTGCAGGACTTCATATTATTCGGTTCTTTCGGTAAAGTCACGGAGATAGAAAATGAAAAAAAAAACACGACGTTTCGATCGCAACACAAGCGGTCGTCATCAGGAAAAGGGGGGGGGGGGGGGGTTGGCCTACAAAGGCAAACTCCCCTTATCTCTACCCCCCCTTCTCTCTCACCTTATCTCTACCCCCCCTCTCTCTCACCTTATCTCTACCCCCTCTCTCTCTCTCCCCCGTTGTCTTCTCCTACATTAACATTAGCTGCTCCGCTCATGCTGCCGACACGCTTGGACTATGCCCATTTGTAAACCTTTATAAAGTTTGCCTTTGGAGGCTAACCCCCCCCTTTTCCCTGATGACGACCACTTGTGTTGCGATCGAAACGTCGTGAGTTTTTTGTTGTACATTTTTATTTTCCATCTACGTGACTTTATCGAAAGAACCAAAGAATATGAACACTAAATGTAACATTTTGCCATTAACAATATTGCCATCTACCAGTCTCACAGACTGAAAAACGTCATGTTAATAATGATTCCCTAATTAATCCGGGAAAGGCTCCAAGTCTGAAGAGTGTCCTGCATTTTGCATGTTTGCCCATATTTTCCGAACGAGTGTTTTGAAAGGGAACGGAAGTGCCCGGGGAAACACACCACCCGGAAACGTGGGTTCCCGAGAGGATGACGCGTGCAATCTGCACGGATGCACCAACCCTGCCGTTGAACAACTGCACCATGGGATTTCGCCACTGCGCAAATTAACAGTCGTGAGAATAATAACAAAAGTTAGTTCCTTTTTTATCCAGGAGAGCCACTCTCTTTGTTTTTCAGGAGGGTCCCGATGCATTTTTTGTATTTTAACATATTTTCAAACAATTAAGGAGTCTTCATATAAGCGGAAAAAACCCGTAGCAACCCAGAGACAAGCAGAGGTCGCAATCGGGTACCCGATACCCGTACCCTACCCGGCCGGGTATCGGGGTACCCGTTTGCGACCCTTGTGCGGCCGGGTATGGGTACGGGTAAGGAATCAAAACCCATTTGCGACCTCTGGAGACAACCCAAGCGCATAAGGGGGGGGGGGGGGGGCAACACCATTCCACCATACAGATGGATTCGTCCACTTGCTGTACTGCCTTCTTCTGGCGAGCCGGGGTATGGCTCCTCAATCCCCACGGGAAGAGAGTTTCACAATCCACTGAAAGTCACTGAAACGAGTGGCAGACAATGACGACAAGGGCGCAACCGAGTCAGCACCGCACGCGAGCTGTGTCGGGTTTCAGGGCTGCCCCCTGCTGAATAAAACCGTTCATTAACCGAGAACGTTTCAGTTAAAATGGCAGCCACGTAGGGATATTCGGGGCGGATCAGGGACCTAATTTTCTGTTTCATGACACCGGCTGATTATGGTCTCATGATCAGAACGCTCGCCACCGAGCGAGCGTTCACACAGACTCGATGGTTCGAATCCCACCACAGGTGCCAGGTGATTACTGGAATGTTTTTTTTTTGCAGGGAATTGATGAACATAGCCATTTGCTATGACATGGATGCTTAAAAAGCACCCGTGGATTTAATGTATAAGATTAATCTGTGACGATGCTAAAACAAAGCCACACTTAAATATGTTCTGCACCTAAATTGCAAAAAGTCACTTCCCACATGCAACTACCATTAACCAGGAACTCTTGCAAAAGTGGTAATGAATCCGTGGGCTTTTACCCTAGTTAATGAAAGGATAATGCATTGAGAGTGCATCGACGCACGATGTCTACGATGCTACGTTGAATGAAACGGCTCTCGTTTGTCGAGGCATACGATAGCAACATCCCCTCCAGCCAACCGTGACATGCAGCATCATCATCATCTGACGTCATATTGTAACAGTATATGCAGCTGAAAATTTCACCCAGCTTGGGTATCGCAGATTGTATCGAATAACAAGTCTTCTGCACATCTGAATAGAGGCTATTGGGTGTTGGTATTGGGATCCAATAAAAATTGACAGCTTATTACGAAGGATTCTGCAGTTGCGCAATACTTTATATATAGTCGTGTAATTCAACATGTTACGTTCGTATTAATTATAGACCGTGTTGCTTATATCTCTATATAAAACGTACAGATAAATTATTTACAACCTTAAAACAACAGCCATCGCGATAATATACTCCTGCTTTTCGTTTGCCTCAAATGTGGCGTGCAAATTGGATCAAAATAAATATTCTGGCAAATTCACTCTGTAGGTCAGAGCATATCACGAAGGACAACGTATCTCCCACCAAAACAAGCCTGACTTGGCAAATGTCACACAATAAATTACACGCTTAAAAGAATGATATCTGCAAGGGTCACAGTCGCCGAAATAGACGTAACGGTCAGTGACAATGTGCGTCGCGTGAGAATTGCCATGGTAGTGTTTTAACGAGTTAATTAGCTTGTTTTGCTTTACCCCACGGAAATATTGCACTTTCCTGGGATCTGATCAGAGGCATCTTGACCTCTGCTGCTATTTTAAGTTCAGTTTCCATGACAACACAAATCTCCACAGCTCTGATTGGCTAAGAAAATGCACGTGACTTAAACCATCACTTCCTTTCAGTTTAAATTCAAGCTTTGAAAACGCACTGGGGACTTTTTGAAAGACCAAACCCACTTGACAAATGCAAGGCAAAACAATACAACGACAAAAAAAACCTCACGAGATTGATGCGGCATATGGACAACCTCCATCCACTTCCGTAGATACCTATTTCGATCTCGTTAAACGGCACGTTTGCATTGTAACTTCCATTCCGACGGCTCAATTGGCGCTTCCAGCCGTGCAGCTTGTTGTGGGGATCATTGCATTACAAGGTGCTACGGAACGCCAAGGAAGCCACTTCGATGCAGTGGAATGCCGAGGGTCACCTGACCAGTGAACGCAATGCGCGCGAGCAACAACCCCTCGAAAAAAATCTGCACGAAAGTGAATGGCGGCCAGTCGAGACATCAAACGGAGCGGGGGATTTGCACATTTTCACCTCACAGCTACCCCCCCCCCCTCAGTAGAATTTCTTCACTCCTCGCAATTTCACAAATGGGCCCAGGCAATGGCAATGGGCTCAATAACTGGTGCACGTGGAGCCTCCGCCGAACCTTGGAGTAAAAAGAGAAGGACCACTGGGTAGACATGAGGGTGGGGACTTTTAGGATGGAGGTCGGGAGGGCGACGGCCCCGGGGGGGTGGGGGGGGGGGAGATGGGGGGGGGGTGTCGAACTCATCCCTCCGAAGACGGCGGCGTCACCCAGCCATATTTTTCGTGAGTTTTCACCAGGCTCTTGAACGTCGCCTCCGCCTCTTTCCTCGTGAACGCCTTCTTGGCCTTGCTCGCTTTTCTGCAGATCCGTCCCTGCAACCAGACAGTGCGTGACACGCGGCAAGACAAATGTTAGCTCAGGTCATGAGGTTGAGGTCAAGGTTTTTCCCTCCTTTGAAACCATCGTTGGGGTTGCACACATCTTCACTTGGTGGAAAGTCCACATCCTCGTGGCAGAGAACAGTCCATCCATAGAATGACCATTGTACAGACATCTCAAGCAGTAGTATTCATTGAATTGCTGAGAATGAGTCTACATTGCTGGGCATGGGGTTATGCCGAGAGACCGACTGGTTTGAGAAGTTAGTGGGATTGTGCAGCACGCATCGTTTGAAGAGGAGGGAATGCTCCCGAAAAAAAACATCGCCCGCTGAGCTGCAGCGATCCTAACAGGTCGTGTGCGGGTACGGGATGGATTGTTACATCGCAGGACTGAGGGATGGTGACAGGTCGACGAGACCTTCATCCAGCAGTGGATTGACCTATGGCTGATGAAGATCACGTGTCTTTAGGTTTAAGCCTGCGTTCGCACGTGTGTCTCTTCTTAAAGCAAGTATCAGTTACTATGAGTGGTGATTATATGGAGAGGAGAGAGTGGCCCCTGCCATGGAAATGTGGGATTCTACCACTGGTTCAGGGCAGTAACAGAGCAGGCATCACCCCACACTCGATTGACTGGGGAAAACACGGTGACCTTTTGAACGTTACTCAATATGCTCTGGATGGCGTACGATGCTTTTCATGCACAGCACGCCGGACCTAAGAAAGGTCAGCATCTCCCCCTCCCCCCCGTTCAAACACGCATGGAGCAGCACCTGCTTCTATTGGAAGCACCGAGCGAGAAGTGGACATTCCACACTCCAATGGCAGGGGGCAGTCTATACTAGGCCGAACATTGTTGATGTCCATATCAAGCTGGTAAGTTCAGTGTTTGAACGCGAGCGAACCTTTCCGTTCGTAAACCGGAGCGCTTCAACCGCATTGCCGTCCGGCCAGATGCAACGGCCGATTTAACAAGCATTCGCGATGCAGCCGCCTGCCCCCCTCCGACTGTCCCCCGCAACCACCGACAGCCACCCAGGAGTCACCTTCAGCTCTTGATTTTCGTAAGTTAATTCGGCGTAGCGCGTTTGCTTTGGCGAAGACTGCGTCAGCTTCGCTCCACCGCCGGCCGTGCTGAAAAATCGGCCGACTCGGGTTCTCCTTCCACTTGCGCGCACGCGGGGCTCGTTTGACGCACGCGAATGAATAATTTACGCGTTTCCATGCAACGCGTGCTGCGGTCAGCTCTGGCGTGTGTCTTTGACCACCCCGTGTGGCCCGTAACATAATAGCGCGCAAAACACGCTGGGGGGGGGGGGGGGGGGGGGGTTGGAATTTGCCCACAAGAGAGCGTACAATACCGAGCGGGGCAGGTTACGCACGCTGCGGGCCACGCATAATCCACCCAATAACAGAACACACCGTTCGAGCCACACGTGCAGTGGTGGTGCTGGAGGGGAGTCACCGGTTCAGATTTCGGGTTGGAATGTTGACTGTCGTGTGCGTGTGTTTGAAGAACACACTGCGATGAGTTCACACTTGAGCGCAAACATCGTTACTCAGCCCCATCATCCCTCGGAGATCAATGAAATGATTACCACCGTGCAGGAAGCCAAGCTTGGCACAGACTACATGATGTTCTTTTGGAAACAGCTGGGCTTGAGCAGGGCACGATGGTGAGAGAGGATGATGGATGATGATCAAGGATGATAACAGAGGGGGGGCAGACAAGGAACAGAACACGTCCAGGAGGACAGCAGTTCATGTGCAGGTGCTGAGCGGATTGTAACATCACAGGATGAGAAGTTCGGGAGTTAGGGGAGGCCTTCATGCAACAGTGGATTGATCATGGCTGCCGATGATAACGATGATTATGCCAGCTTCCTGGAGCAGTTCTTTCCAACTCGGCCCCAATTTAAAACTGTCACAGGGAGAGCGGCGGGGAGTAAGTGGCACAATTTATACCCGTCACGGCAAATCGCCCCGTGTTTGACCTCTCCCTGACAGACCGCCATCTGAAAATTGGGAGCTAAAAGCCAATCCCGGAGAGGTGGAGAGCATCACGTGGCGAGCATTGTGACATCACAGCGGCTCGAGGCACCATTTAAATACAGTAAAACCTTGGATTGCGAGTAACTTGGTCTGCGAGTGTTTTGCAAGACGAGCAAAATTTTTTAATAAATATTAATTTGATAAACGAGCGAGGTCTTGCAATACGAGTACTGTAGTACGTACAGTATACGCTTTGTCTGCCGAGCGTCACGTGATCACAACGGAGCTAATGGTTCTTATCTCTCGCTGCGGGATTGTGGGTAATTGTCTCCCATGCTCGGTCTCAGTCGGCGTGCCTCACTCGTATAGTCAACATCCGTGCGAGCGTAGACTGTTTACTGTAGTGTTGTGACCACGTGTGTGTGCGTAAAGCATTTTTTTTTTATTTTGTGTCCAAGTGTAGTGACTGTTCTTTAGTAAAACTGTACTGCAAGTGAAAGTTGTCCTACACAATAACCCTCCTCTCCTCTCTCTCGTCTCCCTCACACCAGCCACGATTAAATTTAATAAATAAATTTGATTACTTTATATGACATTTAAATAATAAAAATATAAAAGGTATTTTGTATGAATCATTTTTATACGAATACAGTATTTTTAGGTTGTGGAACAAATCATCTGAGTTTCCATTATTTCTTATGGGCAAATTCGCTTTGATATACGAGTGCTTTGGATTACGAGCACATTTCCGGAATAAATTATGCTCGCAATCCAAGGTTTTACTGTACATTACTTTCCAGTATTTTAATACCGTACCAAAACACAGAAGTGGACGAATGATGCAATGGCCAGGCCAATTCACTATGAAGCCAGTGATCCGAGTTCAATTCTCGGCCACGGTTAACATCAATTGGCACGTCATATTTGAACCAGCCCTCAGTGGGCCCCCTTCACGACCCTGCAATGAGCAGCATAGTGAAGTATGGTCGAACAAACGTTATGACCGATGAGGCATGGGGAGGCCTTCACCCAGCAGTGGGTTTACAAAGGGCTCACTTTTGTTTCTCAAATGATTGCAGTGCGGTGCATTGCACACGCGACTAAAGCAAAAGCCATCAATGAGATTCATTACGTGAGCACTTAACTTGTCAGGCAAGATCGACCGTCGGCAGCGATTCCGTAGGGCGTCGCAGACAACCACAACAGTTGGTCCGAGGGACAGACTGGGCCCCAACCATAGGAATGGGGAATCTCAAGCAAAACTACCAACAGAGATGATCACTGGCCCCACAATTGATTTGCGATTTTAGACTTGACTTGCCATGGAGGGTGTGGAGCTCAAATAATTGGAGCAATGCAATTTGACAGCGGGGTCAGGCTGACTGCACAGTAAAGCGGAGTTCAGGTGACCGCAGATGAGAAGTTCATGCTGTCATGCCATTCGGCACGTGTGCTGAATGACAAATCGAAACGCAATAGTTCACAGCACCGAGTGTTAGAGAGTGATATGGCACACGCTGTAATCAGACTAAGCGCAATGAGTCCAGCGACCCGACTACAGTTCCCGGAAGCAGTTAACATCAGTGTCAAGTGACATGTGAAAGCAAGTAACTCTGAAATTGGGACTACGCAGTTCCAATGAAATTACTTAAAAACAACTTCTAGCAATCAGAATAGGATTAATTTAACTTAAGTACGTAATCCTCCCAACTGGCCACAGACAACGAGATCTTAACTACCTTGCCTGGTATACAGGAGGGCATGGGTTCGATCCAGACCCTGACGTCTGTATCTTTGGAGTTTGGATGTTCTCCCTGTGATCGCGTGGATTTTTCTCCGAGTCCTCCGGTTTTTCCTTCAGCATTTAGAAACGTGCGTTTCAGAGTATTTGGCTGCTAGAAATTCCCACGTCATTTGTGGCCATGTCGCTTCCGAAAAAGAGCTATATCGCTTAGGTGGGCCTTACCTGGTGAAATTAATTTTTTTTAAATAGTTTTGTACGCACCGGAGTATTAAACCCAGCGCGCATGGAACTTTGGGCTGATGTCGGGCCAACGTTGCACGTTTACTATGAGGATTCATCACCGCCCCAACAATACACTGAACATCAACAAATGCAGTTTTGGCTCTGACCACCAGGTGGTCCTTCATCCACATTGAAACGGCTGCGCCGAGCGTGCGCGACAATGCAGCAGGGGTTTCGTAACACGGTACACGGCGTTCCCTGCGAGAATGGACACGGGGTGGGGGTGGCGCTCTTTTCCGTTGGTGGCTCCGAGCCAGTGCTGACAATTCCACTTTTTTATGGTAGGGGTCAGTTTGACGATGATGAAGATGATGGTGGGTGATGGGGGGGTCAGCCTGCCCATAAGATGACCAATGTCGATTTCTCTAAAAGTGGAACCTATTTTATTTAAACCACACATTTATTCAGTTTTTTTTACAAAAACAAACAAGATCCCCCAGTATAGCATTAACAGACTGTAGGGGCAAGTGCTGTAAGCGAGCACCTATGAAGGCCGGAACGGTACACGAGGGGGTGGGTGGCCAACACCATGCCCAGCCGCCTTTGTCTCCCTAGTGGCGATGTTTACACATTTGAGGCCGAGTCAACCTAGGGGAGGCCCAGGACCGGTTCTGATAATCGTCACTGCTTTTGGCTGTGAGCAGCGCGCTAAACCGCTACACTGCCGCTCCTCACATGCACAAACCAGTGCCACCCCACCCAGACCGGACTGACTGCCAGCGTACGGCAACACCTACTGCGGTGTTCGTTATTTCGTGAACACTGCAAACCTTTATTTTCCAAAATATCTTGACGATTGGAGACTTAGTCATCAGCCGCCATGATCTACCCACCAACTTCTGGATGAAGGCATTCCCAAGCTGTAGCCATCCCCCCTTCATGGCGTCTCGTTGTAATGATGCGAAATTATTTACTCTCCGACGATTAAGTCTTTCACGCGAGTGGTTGAACGGTGGCCAATATTATGGATAGC